CCGGGCGCAAGTGTCCCCGCCCCCTGGCGCCCGGCGGGCAAACGGCCCCGCCCCCTGGCGCCCGGCAACCTTGAAAGGTTGGGGACCACTGATCTGGAGCATTGTGTCCAATTCTGCCACCCCACTCCACCCATTAGAGAAAGGATGTGACACACTGGAGAAAGTTCAGCAGAGGGCAACAAAAATTATTGGGGCTGGAGCCGGGCGCAAGTGTCCCCGCCCCCTGGCGCCCGGCGGGCAAACGGCCCCGCCCCCTGGCGCCCGGCAACCTTGAAAGGTTGGGGACCACTGATCTGGAGCATTGTGTCCAATTCTGCCACCCCACTCCACCCATTAGAGAAAGGATGTGACACACTGGAGAAAGTTCAGCAGAGGGCAACAAAAATTATTGGGGCTGGAGCACATGACTTAGGAGGAGAGGCTGAGGGATTTGGGCTTATTTAGTCTACAGAAGAGAAGAGTGAAGGGGGATTTGACAGCAGCCTTTAACTACCAGAAGGGGGGTGGTTCCAAAGAGGGTGGAGAGAGGCTGTTCTCAGTAGTGATGGATGACAGAACAAGGAGTAATGGTCTCAAGCTGCTGTGAGGGAGGTCTAGGATGGATATTAGGAAAAACTACATTACTAGGAGGGTGGTGAAGCACTGGAATGGGTTACCTACAGATGGGGTGGAATCTCCACCCCTAGAGGTTTTCAAGTCCCAGCTTAAAGCTCTGTCTGGGATGATTTAGTTGGGGTTCGTCCTGCTTTGGGCAGGGAGTTGAACTCAATGACCACCTGAGGTCTCTTCCAACTCTGATTCTAAGGTCTGAATGCTACCTTTCCACAGAAGAGGTTGTGTGGTACACAGGCCTGACCCCTTTTTGCTTTGTTTCTAACACTAGCAATAGAACACGTGTGTGTGTGTGGGTTGGGGGGGAGGGAGGGACATGGATCAGCGTTCAAATTACACTCCTCACTAGGGATGGGAAAGGTTAACCTGTAAGCATCACCCTTAACAGATGACGCTTACCAGTTCAGGTTAACCATTAACTGGTGGGGGCTGGAGCAGGTCTCCGTCATGGACAGATACTGCTCCAGTCATCTGGAGCATCACCTGTCCATGGTAGGCGTGGGTGCCCTGTAGGTAGATTGTCTGCAGGAAGCCTGGGGACAGGGGCAGGCAAGGGTTGCTCCAGCCAGTCTGAAGCAACGCCTGCCTGTGGCGGAGATGGGGGGGACTCCAGCCCAGCCTCGGCAGCACGGGGGGAGCGCTTCCCATTTAATTGGTTAACTGATAAAACACAATGTTTAACCAGTTAAACAATTAAACAGGATTTTACATCCCTACTCATCGCCTCAGTACCCAGCCAATACCTGGGGAAGCTAATGATCCAACCAATGGACTAAATTAAGCAATGAATCCTGGTGATGTGCCACCCGAGGCACACTGCGCATACACTAAGAAGTGCAGTGCCCAGAAGTAGCACATCGGACAATAGCAGCTCTGCTAGCTCCTTCCATCAGTATTGGATGAACATTATCCAGACTCAATCAGGGACATTACCCATCAAGCTTGGCATGAGGGAGAAGCAGCTTATAGCCCAGCCAACACACTTATGGAAGGACAGAGTAACCTGAAAGAGGAGATTCTTAATGTTCAAACATTATTTACAGTAATGCCATCCCCTACAGACAAAGCATTGTTCTCTGTCTTGACAAACAGCCTATCAATTTCCCACTCTGTCGGCTTGAACAATGAGACAGTTGCATGTGACCAGGTCGAAGCAAGACGTCATCCACCCAAGAGTATCGACTCTGTGGCCAGCTGGCACAGTGTGCAGATTCCTCG